ACTGAAGGTGAAGTTGATCTATACTGTTTGCCGAGTGGATCCAGTACAACTTATCTATGAGAACTTATTAACATCCATCTTGCATTGCATTTTGACAGCTGTCAAGGGAAAGCAAGGAGAGGAAAAGATCTATTTAGACCCTTTGAGTTATCAAGGGTTGGTACAACCATAGTTTTCCCAACATCAGGCTCTTCATGAGTTGCCCCACCCTCCTTCATCCCATCTCTCATCTAGTATCCCCTGCTAGCTAAAGATTCCTTATGCCTTTTCTACACTACAACTGTGAACTTTCTTTGTATGCAATCCATATAGTCCCATCTAAACTATAGCCCTGCCTGAATCATTTTCCAGAGCGGCTTACTTTCTACAGGTATTAGAAGAGTTTGTGGAAATGTGGTGAGGGGCACTTTTTCCTTTTCCCAATCACCTAGTCTCAGGAGAGGGTGAAAGGTAGGAGTGCAAGAAACCAAAAGCCCAGAAGGTCTCGTGAGATGGGGAAGGCTCCACCCTATTTTACAGGCACAGATTTTACTTGCACTAAGCTTTTCCTTGACAGCTCATCTTTTGACCACTATCAAGAAGAGTGAAAAGTAAACTAAATGAACCTATTTGCTTGTCCATGGTTGGTGCCTGCTGTACTTGCAATGCCTAAAAAAAGTTTAAAAGGCTGTGGCACGTATGAAGTAATTACAGAAGACATAAAGCCAGTGAGTCATTCTGCATGCTGCTTGGGCACTAGTGGGGCACCTGTCATTACTGGTGGACCAGGTGAGTTTGGCAGACACTTCCCTCCCTCCACACCAAATGGCTCACATGCCAATTTCCTGTACTCACAAGGATATTAGCTGCCCAAGCTCAGACAACACCAACAATGCAATGCGGGTACGAGTCCAAAGAAAAGCCACTGGTTGGCAAGGGGCTTAGGACAGCCTAAGTTTGTACAACATGAACACAAAGTTACCTACAGTGGGTTGTCATGCTATGCGTGTCTAGCCATTGCAGTCATTTCCAAGCTTATAAGACAGCTTGAGGCCACAAATGGATATTGATGCATTTTAATCTGAAAATGGCTTGTGCTCAGACATTTGATCCCATTTAGTTTTGGCAAAAGAGCTTCACATTAGAATTACTGTGCTTTGATTTCATTTAATGATTATTTTCTCCATTGCAGAGCTTGATTTATTCTTTCTCCCTCATCTCTTTAGAAAGTCATAATGGAACATACGATAGCTCATCCTCCAACTAATATTACAAACATTCTGAAAGCCAGTATCCAATGTTTATTTTTTCCTAAGATGTATCCTAAAGAATATACTTCTACTTAATTTAGTTTTACTATACAGAAATCTCTAAACTTCCAATTCCTCATGTTTATTTTACCTCAATATTAGCTCTCCCATTCACTTTGAACATTCCCCATATGTCTAAAGGGAGTACTTACAGTATAATTAGAATTCAATTTTTATTATAAGGTAAATGGATACATTACAAATAGTTTTTCCTACCCTTACAAAAATCCTTAATCCGTTATCCAATGCCAGGTCAGAAGCCTAAAGTCAAACCCATGTTATGAAATAAGTAACAAAGTGCATAGTGCCAAATGCAAGAACAGCACACATTAGGAATCAGGAGAAATTAGACAATATATTTGAAGCTATAGGTGTTGTCACAGGACAGTCTTTTGCCTCTGCAGCGGCCACACAACTCCTGACGGTGGGGCCTCTTGAGGTCAATGTGTCTTTTCTTCTGGGGGCAGGAGCAACGAGTCTTTGAACAAATCTTGGGATAACATACTTGAATTAGCAAACAGAAATTAAAGCCTCTTCATAAAAGTTACTTAGTCCACTGTAGTTATACCTTACCTATACAGTCCCCTCGCTTAGGAAAACCTAACACTATACCTTTGCTTCTATAATACTATTTTCCAAATGGGTGACAAATTCACCTGTATCCACTGGGTCATTTTGGCTCAGATCCTATGCATTTACTCTGAGGAGAGCCAAATAGTTGCCAGGCCCTACAATTTTGTAAGAGACCCACTGAAGCAGTCAATGGAGCAGTATCAAGGCACAAACTGGCAAACCTGTGACCAATCTGGTTGGTTGGTTTATCCATTTTTTATAAACAGGAAATTCGGCCCTGGGAAGATCCCTGTTATCAAATATACAAGAGAATGCTGCTAGATCCAGCTATTAGATTCTCACAGCACCACTGGCAATGCTACAAAAATCTAAACTTTTATCCACATCTATTATGCAGCTATGCAAGTCAATTGCTGCAGGAGATAAAAGCTGCATTGCTTGTTTGTGGAATTTCTTACAGTTGTCCCTATAGCCAGCATTAGTGCATAACAGCAAAGGAAGTGAAACAGATGTTTACAAGACATTATTTCAACACTAAAATGCTGGTATTTTAACTTGCTAAATACATCTTAGGTGAAGTGTTACTTACATGGCACTGAATCGATTCCACTTTATAAGGATTAAAGCTCTTCTGGCATTTGCGACAGAGCTGTTTAAAGTAAACCTAAGAAAATTAAGGTTGTTGCCATTAGCAGACCCCTGAACCCCCAAGAATGGAAAATTTCAGTAATTTCAAATTTTCCTGTCTCACATGATTTTCTTATAGATTTATCCACTCACTAAGAAAACCAAGTTTACAGTCTGACCCAGAGCAGAAATTAAGGGTTTTACTGATTAAGCCCCTAAGAATACATTGTATTAAAATGATTCTAGTATATTTAAGATTTCCCATTCATGTCTTAAATTGTGTTTGATATTTTAGTCAAAGGAAATAGTTCTATTCAGTGTTTCAAAATACAACTTTCAATAGAAGTTCTAATACTGGCATTTGTTACGAGTGAACAAGAAAACTCTCTTCTTCCCCTATTTGACACTAGAAATGTTAATAAAAATCAGAATGAGACAAGCAATGAGAGCTACATCATTTGGTACTGCATATACTATTCTAGTCAAAGGATCGAGTCTTATGGCACCTTAAGGTCTAAGATTTATTAAAGCCTACACTTTCAGCATTCATCTACAAAAAAGCTTAGGTTTTGATAAGTCAGCTGCAGCAAAAAACCAAAAACAAAACAATTATGTGGTATCTAAAAGACAAAAGCACAGCTATTTGCTGTAAACAGGGCACAAAAGATTCAACAGGTTAGAGAAATACTTCGGTTGTTAACCAGTTTTCCACCCTAGTTAAACACTTTTGACTACTAAAGTATATCCTCTACAAATTATCCACTTTTATGCTAACTATACCTTATTGGTTCCAGAAATGCACCATACATAAGCACTTTCCCATCTGGTCTTGCAACCATTGCAATGGAAATAGCCGTATTTCTGTTCTAGGAACTACAACAAAAAGCATCTCATTAGCATAACAAACACTTTAATGAGGCCTGATATGAGAATCCTGGTAATACTAGGGGCAGTCTAATACTATTTGCAAAATTACTTTGAGCTTTAACAGTTCTAATTATGGTATAGATGCATGTTCAAATGTTTAGTTTTACTTCTAATATAGAATTATCAAAGAGTAGAGTTGGAAGTGGCCAATAGAGACCAGTGGGTTCACTCCCCTGATCAACACACAACTCCACATTAAACCATCCCTCTCAGATGGCTGTCCAGCTGCAACTCTACCATGAAGCTTACTGGATAACTTTGGGCCAATCAGACTTAGTCCAACCTACCATCACATCACTTGTGATAACGGAAAGGTGAGGAGACTAAATACGCTACCTCAGGTTCAGTGTAGGGGTAATAGGAAGAATATGAATAAAAAATTGGAAACGGACCTCAGAAATTGGCCTGATTAATGAAGCCAATGGAGTGCCATCTGCAATGTTTGTCAGCACAGTAAATTAACACCTATGCTTCCATCCTTCTTTGCAGTAGGAAGGCTGCAAGCCACTTTTGATAGGTTCCTTGGCAGCTGCCATGGCTTTCCCTTCAAAACAGCTTAGGTCTGAGCTAGAAGGCTGGGGCAGGGATGTGAGCTAGAGGAGAGAGAACATGACCACAGTTTCTGCCTTGCTTATATACAGTCAGAATTCAATCTGGCCTATCCTTTAAAGTTTCAGAGTGATGGCTAAGCAGAATGGGGTAAAACTAGGTCAAATGATCATGTAAAAACACTTTAGAAATTCAGTAAATAAGAACAATTTAGAGCAGCATCAGACAGCAAAAGATGTAAACTTAGAAAGTTAACATTTTATATCTAACATTTTATAGCTGAATTGGCATATCTGATAAGATTTCTCATTTTATTCATGTCCATTACATAGATTCCTGGCTGACCATAGCAAGTATTCCACAGACACTCTGGGAAAAAAATGTTCTTTTAAGGGGATGGCTAGAGGGTTCAGCATCCGTTAAAGGGAAAAGGAGGCAAGTCTGTCAGGAAAGCTTCCCTTCCCCTGTGCAGTGTTTACTGGATGACTTTCTCTAATAGGGAACATTCAGCAGGAAATGAGGGAAACTGGCTTCATTAGTCACATTTAGCATACATTTACCTCATTGCTTTTAAAAATGCAACATTAACATTTTGCAGAAGATTTTTGCAAAATATCTTCACTACTTGAGAACTAAAATTCAGTATGTACTTTCCTGTTACACCAGAAGCTTCCCTAGAATCTTTATGCCGATTCTTATATCTCTACAAATGGTTTGCATGCAGATATGTCATCAACTGCTTAGAGAGCTTTAACTTTCAGGCAGTATAAAAGTTCATAAAACCACTGCCATCCAAAGAGTGATTTCTCCATCCAAGAAAAAGGGATACATTACCTGAAAGTCATAAATGCTACGACCAAAGTCAGAAAACCACCACAAAGAGAATGAAACCTTAATTTTATTTAGTGAGGAGTCTCAGTCATGGAGCCTGCATGAGTGTGCCTTGAATGGGTGTGCAGCAGTACTGTTCCTTCTTCACTTTTCCTTCTAATACCTCCTTCTGAACTGTTGAAGTCACAGGGAAGAGATTCATCTGAGGCCTTGGAGGGCGAATACACCAGCTTGTTAGATTAGGTAAGTCCCACAAGCCAGGAGGCTTCCATCACTACTGTAAAGAATCTAACATGCAAGACACAGGAATTATGTTCTTATGTGTCTGTGGCATTATGTCTTAAGTTTGTGTCTTAAGTTCTAAGTTCAGTGTGACTCACTTTTTAGTAAGCCCATTACAAATTTGAAGCTCAAATTTGAGGCTAAATATGAATTATTAGCATGTACCTCAGATTTTTTCCTATTCCCATGGCAGCATATTTTCCCTAACCCAGGCCATTGTGAACATGTCACCCAAGTGAGCAACCTTACTCATCAAAAAACACTGGTCATATCAGTGGATGCACAAGTGCTGAATCTGACTTATGGATCTAATTCACCCAAGCCTACACAGAGGATTTCATCTGTTAAAGCAAGCCTTCTGTTTCTTACAAATGTATTGTGTGCTCATCACCTACTGAATTGCTGCCCATATTTTACATGCAGAAGATCCTAGGTACAAAGCATAGCACCTTCTGTTGAGGAAATGTTCTAATAGATCATTTATTTGTAGAAGTTATTGCAGAAATTATCTTCATCTGTTGGGGAAAGCTTCCAATAACTGCTTAATATTTGATTATTCCTAGTTCTATATGAGCTAAAGAAGCTAAAATATGAGTTCCCATTTTGTTTATCCAACCAGCTCACTATTACATCTTACTAAAACCTGTTACCAGTTAAAACTGCACCTGCTTAAAGTTACAGTTTTGCCAGAAGTAGCACAAGAAAAGAGGGTGGGGAAAACTCACATTATCTAAGATAAAACAATCTTTGATGTTAACACTTCCATTCTAAACATATTCTGATACACTGCTAATTTTGATGCTATTAAACCTTAAGTAGGTAGCTTAGAATTCTTATTCTCTAGACATTCATGAACTTGCTCTGGGGTCCCCAACTTAACACTCAAACACTAATCTGCCCACGGATACTTTTCTTAGTACTTACCAGGCTCTAATTTATTTGAATTACTTAAATAGCTGGGAGGCAGGTTCGTTGCAAAGCTAAGTGCTGTCCTTTGATATGCTCTTTTAAGTTCGAAAGAGTGATTATGTGTGTTGGAGCTCAGACCCACTTCTGCCCTGTATTTCACATCCTAGCAACTTATTTCCTAGAAGGCAAATGGCGGTGAGACCTAAAAAATAAGTATGAGCTGACCAGCACTATGCACACTGGGAATGGCCAAGCCCCCCAAATGTTAGCTATTTTGTAGGAGTACCCATCACACCCCCCGAAAATTCAAACACGTCCATCAACCCAAGTAGTTTAGGAGCATATAATATAGCTCCATAATTCATCTAGAATTAGTAAGTAATTTAAGGCTTACAGCAATGAAGTAGGGAAGCTAGGGGTTGGGGGTAGCCAATTACCTGGCTGCAGTCGCAAAAGCAAATCCCATTCCCGATTTCTTTAACTCTACCCTAAAAGGATGTCTTCCCGCTCTTTTCCCAGGGCCTCACGCCGGTGCACCCCTACCAAGCAACCAGAAAGCAAGAAGTACGTGCAGCCCACGTGAGCCACGCCTCTGAGGAGCTGCGTGAACTATTCTTCAGTTTGACCCACCTGGAAAGTAGATTTTTTGCCCTCTTCGGCACTGCCACCTGTACTAGCCACGCCACCTTTCCCATCCTGAAGCTGGCCGGACTCTTCGTCTCTCTTCTCCGAATTTGTCGCCGCTGCCGCCTCCTCCGAGGCCGTGACCGCCACCGCCTCCAATACCTGCCCTTTCGCCTCCTCGGAGGGCTGCTGCGAAGTCGGCGCTTCCTCCTGCTCCGTCGGCTCTACCACCACTTCGGGCAGGGTGCAAAGGCGGCGGCCCACGATGGGCGAGTACACGCCCAGCAGCGGCGGCTCCCGGCTGAGACGCCCGGAGGGGCTCTGGGGTCGGACTGCCTGGAGCGGGCGGGACCCGAGCGAGCACTGCACAGCGGCGTCCACCCGCGGGTTCACCTGGATGCCCACCTCCTTGGTGCTGGCCTTGTGGAGTCGCGGGGGGAGACCCGGGCTGACCTGGGACAGCAGTGCCTTCAGCTGGGCTCGCTTGTAGGTGTCCAAGTAGTCCGGTGAGGCCCCGGGAGGAGGCGTGGAATGGGCGGAGAAGCCCCCTCTGTAGGGATTGGGAGTACCGCTGCTCTTGCTTTGCTTCCAGCTCGGCTGCTTCTGCTTGGAGGGCGGCTTGGGGGGCACGTTATGGTTGGAGGTGAAGGTATTCGCGTAGCTTTGATAAACGCCGTAGGGCGGATAGACAAAGTGCTCCATGGCCAAAAGGAGAACTTGCTTTTAAGCAGCCTTGCCTGCCTTTCTAGCTTTTATCCTTCAGGAGAACAATGTCTGATTGGTGCTCATTATTACTGGCGGGGTGGTGATGGTGATAATCGCTCTCCTCGATTGATTGATTGATCCGGCTTGTCAGTTTTTGGTTTTGTTTTTACTAACCCTCCAGCGAAATGTTACTTAAGTTTTCTAAGCACTGGTAGCGGGGATTTCAAGATATTACTCTTAGACAAAGAAGTGGACTATTTAAAGTTAGCAAACTATGACTCATTTATGCGCGAGTGTGTTAATTAAGAGTTGATCAGGCTGCTTCAAATTAAATTGATTACAGGTAGTACTGTCAGACAGCGCTTCAGTAGACCCATTACCTTTCAGAAGATTAAAAGCACTTATCTAAACATTTGTGAGTCTTAGCACTTAGTTCAGTAGTCCATTTGACTTTGTTTGAGAGCTCAATTATACAGATTTCTATCCAATAAGCATTTCATGTCTCCATATTGTCACATTTGAACACAGTTGGCTCAAGTCAAAGTCCTATACTGAAATTCCATAAACCATCATCCAAAGGTAAGAAATCAATACTTGTCTACAGAATACTTACAATTTTGTTTTGCATATAGATAATACGCTTTCCCAACCCCTGAAGCAGAAAATGTACTTCTTTTCCATAAGTCCAATTTACCATCTAACTCCCATGCAAGTAAGTGAATGCTAACAACCATCTTTGTACATTTTTTATCAGTTTGCACAATGCATACTAGCATTTAGATGGACAAAAGAACTGTCCATATATCACTTAATTACTCAACACTTGATGAATTGGTGATTGATTAGTTTGGTCACAGACCAGTAAAATGCAACATACAGGTAGTAAAATATTAATACAATAAAATAGGTAAAAAGATAACGTAAGTTATTAAAATACTTAGGTATCCAAAATGCAGTAAAATCAATAAGAGTTGTAAATCTCAGCATAAGATTAAGTATATTAGCTATTCATTGGAAAACATTGTGGCTGTGAAGAATCTGTGGGGTTTTCATCTGTGCATCTCTGACCATTGTCAGGAATTACTATATAGTCCATGTGGATGGTACAGCATATCTACTGTTTAAAATTCTCATATTTTACTACACTTTTTCAGATACTATTTATTGCTGCTCCTGTTTGGTTCTATTGCTGAAAATAGGCAATGTAACGACCTTATCTTTTTGAAGAAATTTAAATGCTCAGAAATGTGAATTATGATCAGATGATAACTTCTTCTATGTTTATCATTCTATAATTTGGAAAATAAATAACATTTTTTCACACAAAGCAGCTTATAATGTCTTTATACTGCCTTGCAAGAAACACAAGGCAGCTTACCTAGTGTTCCTTTTCTTCTGTTTTATCCTCACAACAATCCTGTGTGGTAGGTTAGTCTGAGAGTGAGTGATTTAACCCAAATCACCTAGTGAGCTTAATGGCTGAATGGGGACTAGAGCCCAGACCTCCTAAGTTCCTAGTCCTTAAAGCACACCATCACATTGGCTACTCATACCTAAGTCTCACTGGGGTCAGTTGGGTTTACTCCCAGGTAAGATGATACACAACAGCCAGTGTGACATACTGGTTAGGGGACTGGGGACCTGTGAGATCTAGGTCCTAGTCCCCACTCAGCCATGAAGCTCACTGGGTGACTTTGGTCCAGTCACTCAGCCTCTGTTCCTAGAAAGAGCCCTGGCAGGTAGATTTCAAGCTGCATTTGAAATCTCAAGATTTCTCAGAAGTTGGATAGATCAGAGACATGCAGAGCATGTGCTGCTGTCGCCCATGGAAAAAACCCAGGTCCTGTTCTGTTTCCCCACGAAGGACTATGCCAGATGAACTCTCATTGGCCAATGTGTAACCCAGGAAAATAACTTATAAGCCAGTTGCATCATTCTACCTCCTAATTATCTAGCATTACCATTTTTCCTGTTTTTCTTCTGTATGTATACTTGTGCCATTGAAATAATAGTATGTATAATTTTTATATACTTAACCCCACCATGCTAAGGCCACACATGGTAGCCAGAAACCATCAAAGAAGACATGCTTGGATGACTCACTTGACTGGTAGATCTTTGATAGCAAGGGAGCTTCTTCAACAGATGGTTTGGAAACTCTGGCCACAGGCAAGACAAAGATGGATTTGTTATCTGCTTTTGCACTATATAGACCTGTCATATACCCCAGAATGGACTTGCCAGCAATACTTACATCACTGCTGCCCACCAAAATCTTTTCGATATGCAACTGTATTTCCAAACAATGTGCAGTCTATCACCTGGTAACATCAAATATATCCCAATAAAAATATTAATCCATGCTCTGGAAAAGACTGCTGTCCTGACCAGAAGAATGAATGGTAGAATATTCAAACTTCAAACAAAGGCACAGCTTAAATACAATTTGTAGAAAGGACTCTGCGTGCGGTTACTTGTAACTGTAAGCCAGTGTGGTGTAGTGGTTAGAGTGCTTTACTGGAACTTGGGAAAGCTGCAGTCTAGTCCTCATTTGACCATAACTTGAATAGGTTTTCAGCTGTCACTGATTTCTTAGCCTAACCTACCTTTCCTTTCACAAGGTTGTTGAAAGAATAAAGAGGGGATCATGTAAGCCACCCTGCATGAGGAAAAAGTCAGGATATAAAGGTACTAATAAATCAATATAGTTCACTGATATAATTAAGTATAGTCCTGTGCTGATCGATTCAGATTTCTCCTGAGGAGTACTCATAAAGATCAAGGAATGCTTCTGGTAATTAAAGTCAATTGAGGATGTATCTGACTGGAATCTGCTTATGTCCTCCAAAATGGAGTATGAGGTTCAAAAATATAATAGGCCATTGTATCTAAAAACCCATTCACTAGTGAGCAGTCTACAGTACCCATCATCTGAAGGGCTGATGGAAGTTGTCAAAAAATCTAGTGAGAACATTTTTGTATCACCCAATAGCCAAAGCACAACACTTGAAAACACAATACCCTCCTAAACACATTAACTTGAGGAACTAAAGCTAAGTGAACAAGGTTCCATGGACTCACTTTAAAGCTTCATCAACCAAAAATAGTGTCCATATGAAAAATGGCCATGTTTGCCTCTGAAGCTTAAGGATGCTGCCTCGCTGTTGCATGACGTTATTATAATTGTAGGGCTAAAGGATTATTTCTGGTGGGTGTTGCCTCTCCTTTAGACTAAGAAAGGCAAAAATAGGATTAAAATTAAGTCGGAGGCCGTTAGTCCGTCTTGTTGGACGCAGTATAGAAGAGGCTTATTGGAACGTAGAGTTGTATGCAGTGATAGTCTAAACTAAACTCCGTCTATTTCAGTGGGTTTACTCGAAGTAGGACCTATTCTGGCTAGAACTCCTGTACAGCGCTCGGGGCTGAGGGGGAGCACTGGCCCCTCCCCCACGCGTTCTAACCCTCCTCCCAAATCCGCGCTCTTTGCCCTGGGCCATCGCCCAATCTCGGTCGGGAAACTATCATAAGAGGCGGGCGCATCCGTTCGCTCCCTCTCCCACGGAGGCGGGGCTCGAGTCCAGCCCTTGGCGCAACGCTTCGGCGCGAGCGCCCCCGGGACGTCCGTGACTGCGTCCGCAAAGAGGAAAGGGAGGAGCGCCGCCATTCAGCGACTGCGCATGCGTCGTCAAGATTCGGCGCTAGTTTGTATTTCGAGAGAGCGGCGCGGGGGCCGAGGCGAGACGGAGGCTGGTCAGTGGGGGCGCGTTTTCGAGGCCGTGGTGGCGGTGGTGGCGGTAGCAGCAGAGGCAGCAAACTATCCCCCTTCATCACCCCCTTCTTTATGAACTCTGTTGCTTCCTTTTGAATTCCTCTGGCTTCTATCTAACGCTTCTAACTATTTTCTCCTAAGAAAAGCGCTCTCTGAAGGGAGACGGAACAGTGGCGGTTGAGAGCAGGCGTCCCCAGCCTGATAACCCGCCGGGTGTGTTGAACTACAACTCTCACTATCCCCCAGGTAACCGTGTGGGGGGAGACGATGCAGCTGGGCATGCTGGGAGTTCCAGTCTAAACATCTGGAGAACACCAGCTAAGAGAAAGCTAGCTGAGAGTGGTTTTCTCCACGGGGTGGGATGGAGGGGCATTGAGAAGCCTTCCCTGCTCGTCCCGTCTGATCATGCCTTCCTTCAGTATGAGCAGTACAATAAATCTGGATGACACTAGTTTGGGGAAAGCTGGACATCATTTGCCACCTTTTGAAAGTGATGTATTTTGCATGGAATATTGGCTACCAATTGGAATGATTTTAAAAGCACATTGGGCAGAGCTGTTGATGGCTGCCAGTCCTGGCGATTATATGCAGCCTCCAGAAGCAGCTTGCCTGTATACATCAGTTGCAGGAGAATGTGGCAGCTTGCATTCATGTTCTTGTATTCTTGGGGCAGCTGGTTCATCACTGAAAAGAATACTGGACTATATGGATCCTTGGTCTGATCCAGTATTGTTTTTCTTATGTTCTGTACCAGTTTTGGTCCTGACACAATTTTATGCATGCTTAGACAGGGTCATACTATACAGTACAGACTCCTTGTAGGAAATGCAGATATAAATAAATAATGATGAATCCCCACTTTGACTGACTCCTCATTTGACAATCTGTTGCCTGTTTGCCCACTTTATGAAATAGATCCAAAAGGGTATTTCTAATCTGCTGTCATGCTCACATTTGTCTGTCTTGCTGCTTATCCATGACTCCAGATAACTTCTGAGCCAAAATTCTAGGGAGACCCCTGCTTGCTTACATTTTGACAATTGTTAGCTTATAGCAGGTAAAAATGTGGCCTTCCAGATATTGTTGGACTTCAACTTGGACAATATCTCCCATACTCTAAACACTGGCTAACAGTTTCAAGGGCCTTGGGGACTTATCCCTACTTTACAGTTAATGGGTTGTATCAAACTTAACTAATCCTACCTTCGGCAGAATGCACAGAAACAGTTTATTGTTCTAGTAAGAATGTAACTCATAATTGTCAGACAATTTGTTTCATACATATAGTCCTATGAGTCACTGTCACTTCCACAAGTGGAAACTTTGACTAACCATGATTTTAGAGTTCTTCATGCTGACATATATGTAGGTAGACATTATATACTATGGTCTTTGAAAATCTTATATTAGTCCCACAAAATTTCTCTACTGTAAAACCAGAGAGAACATGATGCTGATCCAGTAGTCCTAATCACCAGTTGTGCTGGTGTTTCATACTTGATCAGTTTGCTTTATAATAACTTTGCAGGATCAGACGAACATAAGCTTTGGGAAGCCA